ATGGAGAAAAGATTGAAACTGTCAATAACTTCAACTTGCTTGGATCAACAACATAATCAGGAGACATATTGCACTGGGAAATTCTGCAGTCAGGGACCTCTCCAAAGTACTGAGGAGCAATGATGTTAGTCTGATGACTAAGGTGTGCCTGACTCAGATCACCATCTTTTCAATCACTTGCTGTGCATCCTAAAGCTTGACAATCAGGATGACAGGAGAGAAGTTTCTATTTTTGAACTGTAGTGTCAAAGGAGAGTACTGAATAAACATATGTCTTGGAGGTGAAGCCAGACTGCTCTTTGGAAGCAAGGATGGTGAAGCTTCATCTCAGATACTTTGGGCATGTTGCTAGAAGAGACTACACCTTTGAGGACATCATGCTTGAAAAGGTAAAGGGATGGTGAAGAAGATGAAGACTTTTAACCAGCTGGATTTACAGTGACTACAGCAATGGGTTTTGAGTGAAAGCGATTATGAGGCTGGCATAGGATAGGACAGGGTTCAGATCTATTGTTCCTAGGGTCACTATGAGTCATACTTCACGGCTCCTAACCACCACAACAAATTAAAACACCAAATAAACATGTTCTGGAGGAAGTGTAACCTGGGTGGTCATTAGAGGCAAGGATGATGAAACTTTGCCTCTTCAGGTATGTTGTCAGGAAGTGCCCATTCTTGAACAAAGGCATCATGCTTGGAGGCAAGGTTCTGATCTGCTGTTCATAGAGTCGCTATGAGTTGTGGCTGACCTGACAGCACTTAACAAAATCAAGTATTAACATGGAAAGAAGTAAAAAACATACGTAGTAGAAAACAACTCCTGAAAGCACAAACGGTATGATTTATGTTAGAAAACACAACAAAAATGTGCACATCCATATTCCATATTTCTAAATACTTGGAAAATAACTGGATTGTAAAGGTATACACAGGACATCAAAAGTGGTTTCCCTCCCCAGCCCCTCGAGTTAGAATTCATAGTTCCCCCTGCAGTGGCTTTTCAGAAGCAGTATATCACAAAGGAGGAGACGGCCCATCTTACTTCTGCAGAGCAGCTGATGAATTTGAACTGCATGTCTTTGGGTTGGCAGCTCGCTCCCACTAGGCCACTGGAGTCTCCCTAATAGAAATTATTTATTTAAAAAAAAATAAGGAATCTAGAAGAAGAGACATCATTACTAGTCTTGAGAATTAAAATTTACGATTTCCATACCTCTTATGAGGCGTAACGTATGATAGAATCACTTTCTCAGTAGAAAACCCCAACTTTCTTCAATACCTGGAAGAGGTTTCTTTTAAGTGATTAAAGGGATATGGAACTTCACTGAGTACCTAACACATCACAGGGGCAAAAGATATCTGCCCAGCATTCTGAGCTCCAGCTCAAGGGTAAGGCATTAGATGCTTTTAGCTTTCATCCATCTGTTTATGTAATAGAAACCAGATACTGCCCAATTTTCAAATCCGCGCAATCCTACGTGTGTCAGAGTAAAACTGCGCTCCGTGAGGTTTTTCAAAGTGGATCTGCGGGACTTTCTTCCAAGGCTTCTCTGGGGAGACTTGAACTGCCTGCCTTTAAATGAGCAATAAATGTTTTCGGATCTACACCACCTAACGGATTAGTGTCTTTCAAAATGAAATTAATATAAGAGTATACTACCATAAAAATTAATCCACAAATCTGAACTCTTAAAAAAATCATTTTATTGATCCTTTACCATACAAAATTTATTCAAATTACACCCATTTGAAGTGGTAAGATCACAGCTATAGAACAGGTCATCCTGTAACAAATCTATTTACAAAATCCATCATAAAGCGCCTTATTTTTTGTTGTGGGTTTTTTTTTTCACATTATATTACATATATATTTTTTCAACTAGCATACAACACAAAGCTAAACCGATTAGTAAATTTGCCTACTCCCATTTGGGAGAAATACTTCCTTCTTGGTTTTTTTTTTGTTGTTGTTGTTGTTATACAAAATCACGTACCCTATAGGAAAAGAAATTCCCACAACCTGATATCTGCCACCTGACATCCTCTCCGAGACACCTTCCTTAAAGTCCCTCTCTCATACACTCGAGTCGTCATGCACACACCAAGTTCTTACTTTCTTTTTTCCTGAAAGCTAAAGCTTTAAATACTGCAATTTTATTTACAGATCTACACTTACGACAAAAACAAGGAAAAAAAAACACCCCAAAACAAAAACAACCACAACTGACCCCCACCAAAAAAAAACACCAAACACAACCCAAAAACAAAAAAACACAACCAAAACAAATCACCAAAAACAACCAACTAAAACAAGAACCACAATGAAAGACAAGAACAAAAAGACACTCTTAAAAAAAAACATTACAAACCAGCTAGAAAATATTCTGGCAGTGTTAACAAATTAAATTGCTATTCTTTTTTTCCCCTGTACAAAATTGCTAGGTCATGAAAAGATGAGACAGCTACATAACTTAAATAACGCCACTGCTATGCACAAAATTTGTACATATAAACACACATCTAACACTGTTTGACAGCTCATGTGTTGCCCTTTATACATTTAGTTTCTAAGGCTCACGCAATCATAATTCGCACACTTGGAACTTTTACCAATTTCATGTGTGAGCGTAAATAATTAATAGCAGCAACTCAATGGTACCAGGAAACCTGCATACATAGTACTTAAAGTAACACGAATACTGTAGTACTAACTCACTTTGTGTGCCAGACAGTATGTCAAAAAGAAAATGACAGATGCAAACAGAACATAGCACAGGGCATCTGACTGCTGGCCATCAGCAAGACCATTCTGGAAAAATCTGACACATAAAGGAATGTGTCCGGCTTACTAATATTCCTTTCATTTTGCAAAAACAATAAATATAGCATTATATTACCAAAAGGCTTAAGGAGAAATTAAACAAAAGAAACACACAACCAAGCCAGACAAACTCACTCTTTAGACTTTGGAAGAAGCCAGCTTTGTGCAGGTGGCCATGAGAATTACACAAAGCTGGAAGCAGAGGCAGCTAACCAGATGAGATAAATATGGGAAATGGGGAAAGCTTGGCATAAATGGTTTCCCATACAGGAAAAACCCCCACAGTGCATTTCCAGTAGGCACTTAACACAAAGCTTCCCCTCCTCCCCACCCCGATGCTTCATCTCGGACCAAGTCCACTGTGTGTGAGGGCAGGAAGGTGGGGACGGAGGCTGAAGGAGAAAAAGGACAATAATCTGCACCTTTGTTTTCTTCCCAAACACACATCCATGCATACCTACACACAGTTTTAAAGTGCTGGTGTCACTTGTGTTGACCCCACCACCACTTTGCATATTGTGAAAATCCATCTCTAGGGTAAACTGCTGGGGCTTTTGCTCTTTTCTTTCTGTCCTAAGGGATATCTTCCAGTCAATGAAACACATATGGATTGAGTACCTACTACGTGCCTACAGCTGTGCCAGGCACATAGCATTTCAATTTAACTGTTCATCATGAGTTTGTGGTTTTGAATTACGATTCCTCCCTCATTCCCGCAGTCCTTAGCATCTAGGGAATGGATCTGGAGGTCCTATGTATGCCACATTCCTGGTGGGAGATGGCTTTCTCCACCCACCAAGGGAAAGAACTATTCTTGGACATACCAGAGAGGATCTGCAACTTGGGACATCATTCCCAAAGAGTAAACCAGTAGAAACATTAACATGTCATCACGTCATTTACTAAGGTCTGGCTTCCCTTGGTCCTAGTGAACTTCTTCACAGATGAAGTGGAACAGGTTGTGGCCAGGACAGCACCGGACACAGCAATAGCTCCCACTTCTCATTAGCTTATTGTAAATTCCATTATATCCTCACGGAACACGCAATCTCTCTTCCTAGAGGCCTCTCCACCTGATCTCCCTGAGTGCAATGTAAAAGAGCCCTTTCCCTGGGTCGTGGGTATCTGGGAAGTCCAAGGATGGAGGGACCCATCCCCGCTGCTCCTTGGGACTGCTAACCTGGTTCTTCTCTCAATGGGGTCACCAGGATGGTAAGCTCCTGGGCTGGCTCACTCACTCCAAGTCGGATGGGAAAGAAGTTGGATGGGACCCTGTTCCGTGTAGAAGCTGTTAAAATAGATCACATAAGGTCTATATATTCTAATCAGAGGGGCAGAAGTTCTCACCCTTTGGTCTAACCAATGTGAATCAGCAAGAACCTCTTCCAAGTAAACAATTAAATTGAAATGGTGATGGGTGTCACAGGAATGCTTAAATGGCAGCTAACATAAATTTTAAAAGGGCTGACACAATCCACTGAGAACTCCTAAGTAGGCATTGGCTACAAATAAACTTTAAATTTACAAAGACATTGGCGGTAGGGGGGTGGAAGTGGTTTATGGAGACAGGATAATCCATAACCGTTGGGAGTTGCAGAATTCTGTAACTCCTGTTATTTGCAACCAATACTGGAAACAAGTTCTTCATCTGGAAGGCTTCGGAGGCTCTCCTGGACCTCCTTGCATGGCAGCCTAGACTGAATCAGGGAAGTAAATGAAGTACTCCTAAGAAGAGCTGAAGAAATCCATTCCATACTCTTGCATGACTTCAAGTTTCCATTTCCTGCAGTTCCATTCCACTGGGGTATTAGCAGACCCCAAAGACATGCATTCTGCGGAGAAGGCACGGCTTGAAATGTTATTAAGGAGGATTGCTGTTTTGTTTTTTTTTTTTAGTGGGCCAGGTGGCCAGACCCCATTCTACAGCCCAGCCCTCAGGCACAGCAAGCCAGTCCGGAGGGAGATACCTGATTGCACATTTTCTCACTTGCTGACTCATCCATGAGACTGGAGCCTGGGGCAGAGCAGGATTTCCCCAAGGGAGTCTGCAACTGTGCGTTTAGACAAATTTTGTTTTTCAATTTATTAAAACGTCAGCTTTGTTTTTGAAGTTTGTCGCTTACTTCATGATAATATCTTGGAGGAAGAAGGGAGGAAGGGACAACACTGCATGACAGGAATAAAAAAATACCAGTTAAGGGAGGAGGGTTCACGGCAAAGCTTGATCAACTACACATGAAGTCTTCCACCAAAGGGAGCTTTTCCAAATCGTAGTTATCAAAGATATCACTGATGCCGTCTTCTTCTTCCAGGCTGAGCAGATAGTCTTCTTGGGGCAAGGGAGGCAATATGGTCACAAATGGTCCTTCTAGGTTGGAAGGAATTTGGTCCTCAGTCTGCTGTAAAAGGTTGGTGGGAGAGGCCAAAGGAGAAAAGGTTGCAATAGAAATAGGGCAATCATTATGTCCTGAGATGGTTGAAGCCAAGTCTGAAATGAAAAGATGGGTAGGAACAAAAAGTACATTAGAAGAAAATCACGTTGGTGTCTTGGAAGAATGTATATATTATTGGTTACTTTTTTTTTTTTTAAGTTATCTTTAACCAAAGACAACCACACCCTTTTGGGAATACAGGTTGCCTCTGGAGCTAACAGATATGAAAGAGTGACTGGTCTTTATTTTGATTTCTTCATACTGTCCTTTTTAAATACTTGCCTCAAACAAATAATACAAAGAGCTTCAAAGAGTAGAGGGCTGACGAGCTAAAAAACTTCTATCTGAAATCAATTAGTGATTATTCAAAGGGAAACTGAAAATTTGGCTCCTCAGTACACATTCATCAATTTGTAACCTAGTCTTTACTTAAAAAAAAAAACCAAACCAAACAACTTATTAATCATGGCCATAAGACTACATGGAATGGTTACAAATATGAGGTAAACCCCCCATCCCCTGGTCTTTTGATCATTTGAGATGCTTTGTTTTTGCTCACTAATATTCATGGATATATTGGTTAACAGCAGAGGGAGAAAAAAAAAACCAACCCAAACCTTTTAAGTTGAAACTAGGTAGGGGGTAAAGACTGCCCAGAGTTTTATTCTATTTATTAATAAAATTTATTTTCTGATGCTGTCTCTTTAATATGTTCTCCATCACATGGGAGAAAGATAAAATTAAGACAAAAGCTCCTAAATAAAAAGGCTGTTCTCCAAACTTCACTTACTTCCCTCCCTAACAATTTCTGTAGCATCTTTCAAAGGTATGCGGCCAAAGATATGCTACTGCTTAACTTCTGATCTCACTCAGTTTTTTAAAACTGGAAGGAAGTGGTTTCTGCCCATAGCAAAAGCCAGACGTGACTGTGCAAGCAGGTAGAGGAGTTCTTTGTCCAACATTATGATTTCAGATTTCACACTAGTTAGAATGCCATTTGAAAAAAAGAAATGCAATCATAACAACTACAACAACAACCTCAACAACAACAGCAATAATAGACGTTTTTGTTCTTCCCTAGACTTGTGGTTCCAATGCAGGCTAACTCTAGTCACCTTCATTCTTGACATTATCTCCAAATGATAAAAGTGGATTATTTCTTTTTTTTTTTTACCTTTGGAAATGGGTTTAGGAATATTCCCATTGTGATCTTGGTTGTTTGTTTTCATTGGACTGTGTGTTTCAGTTTCTTCGGGACACAAGTAAACCTCAATGGGTCCTTGGGTACTTGACAAATGAATTTGTAGGCTCTATGAACAGAAGAAGTGGGAGAAGTTCTAAAAAAAATGGAAAGTTCTAAAAATGAAAAAGTTCGGGTAATTTTCATTGTTTATTTTGTTTCTTCGCTGGTGGTCTATCAATGACTGTCATCCTCTAGAAAAGGAATGAGCAAACTATGGCCCACAGGGCAAATTCTGGTTTTATAAATAAAGTTTTATTGGAACACTGTCACATTTATTCCTATTGTTTATATATTGCCTCTGGCTGTTTTATTATACAATGCAGAACTCCATAGCTGCATAGTTCCAACAGAGACTTCATAAGGTTTTTAAATCCAAAATGATTTACGCTTTAGCTACTTTATTGAAATTTTGCCAATCTCATCTCTAGAGAAAGAACACACATTTTGGGGGTCAGTGTGTTAGAACAGAACTTTGAGAGAGAAACTGTGCTCTTTAAATGTATTTCTTTTTTTGCAATCATGAAAAGGTCCTTTGTCACAAATAAAGTATAGCACTTCCATGTTATTATTCCCTTTTGGCAGGGTTCTTGTACATCAAATTTTAAGACATTTTCAAGTGTTGGGACTGAGCCTCATAAGAGAATGCAGCACAGTGAGAATTTCAGTTTCTCCTCATCAAGGTCACAGTGCTATTGCCATTAAGGTGAGAACACTACTCTAGGTGGGAGATGAAAAATTAAATTCTTTTCATCTTGCATGCAATTTAAAAAATACTATATTGCTATTGGTAGTTTTTATTATTTTGAAATCTTATGGTTGTAAGATTAAATCTGGGCTTATATTGTCTAAGTATATCTGAAAGCAACAGAAATATGTTTCCTACTGTGTTAACAATGGTCAACTCTACCAATTAACCCAAAGTCCCGTTTGATTTCTCGAAAGTCAACATGTCATAAATAAATTCTTTAAATGCGTCAAGACAAGTCAGAGAGAGCTCTTAAAATTTTTCAGCTCTCTACTTCTGGTGGGACCATAAACTGGATAGCCAACTTATAACTTCCTAAATTGCCTAACTGATCAGAACCACCAGAAAATAAGTAACGAAAAAAAACCCAAGAGAGTACATGAACAGGATATATTACACTGAGCTGCAAATGCTGCCATGTGACTATTCTTTTTTATTAAACATTCACTCTACATCAAATGGGTTCTTAATTTTGGGAGATAGGTAAAATGATTAGGAAAGAATTACAAAATTTGTAGGAGAGGATAAACTTTAAAAGTAAGTCAAGGACTCTTCTACTTTAGGCATCCCAACAAGATCTTTGCAGATGAACAAAGATGCTGTTTCCTTACCTCTAGTGGGTCAGGCACTTCAAGTCTTGTTTCTGGAGGGGCTTTCACAACTATAACAGTTTGGTCTTTAAGGCCACTAATTTTTCGAATATCTTGATATGTAACATAAGCTAACGTGTTAATTGTTAAGGAATTTGCCATACTGACTTAGGAGTAACTGTTATGAAAGCAACAAAATAAATACATGGACAAACTGTAAAGCATCTTTAAATATGTAGGGATCATCACGGAACCTTTTCTGGTTGTTATTTTAACAGCCTTTTTAAAAGTAATGGTTGTGACAATCCCATGCTGAACAAATCTACAGGAGCCAATTTCCAACTGTATGTGTTCACCAAATATCCCTTTGTCACACTTTGTTAATTCTCATAGTATTGTAAACTTTCCCACATTCCTATTGCATACATAACAGAGTATAACACAAATATACATTATGTATGCATTAGGAAGCAAAGATTCATGACAGCCTTTATTGAAATAAAAATTTATTGCAACGGTTTGGACCTAAAGACAGTGTCTCTGAGGGAGGAATATATTCCATGAGCACCAATGAAGGTACTGTCAATCACACTGGATGACAGCAGACTTTAATCTGCAGAAAAATTTTAAGCTCTACTATATAATTTTAAAAAACAAACAAACAAAAAATTCCAGGTACTTCTATCTGCATTTTGAGGATCAGTAAGTGTCAGCAGCTAAAACCCAAATGAATGAACAAACAGTAAATGGAAAAACCAGATTGCTTCTTAAGCAGACAGTGTGCTTTTCTTAAGTGTACCTGGACTGGCTGTGATTATATATTGTCTACAGATAAGAAAGGCATTATCTCTTTGTTAGAAAAATCATCTTTTGTCTGATGTTATTAACTCCATCAATATTGCAGGTTTTATAAGGAGGAAATCAGCTTCCAGGTACTTGGCAACCTAAATGAATTTGAGAAACACTGATTTAAGAAAAGAGAACTAAATAATATTTCAGTATTTTTGGTAGTTACTGCTTTAGTACTGAACAACTCTTTTAAGTGTCCTGGTGGCTGAACCTTTAAAAAAAAAAAAATCTACCAGAAGAATGTGAAAAAAAAAAAAATCATAAAAGAATATGGTATGTAATGTAACACAGAAGTATTTGTGCACACCTGCTAAAATCCCCCCCCCCAAATTTACATTTGATACTAAAAGAGAGTAGATTAGTTGCATGATTTTCTGATATAAGAGGCATGGCATAACATAATTAATGCACAATGTCTTTTCTCTAGTTGCTTTCTATAATAATCTGCAAATACTACTAGGACAGAACAACAAAACACAACTCGATGAAAGCAGCCAAGATAAAATAGCTATCAGTCTGATAACATTTTAATGTAGAAATAGGACTTAGAAAACCTAGAAGAAATTACATTCCTTGGAATAAAACAAACCAAAACCCTCTTGATGGCAAGTTGATTTTGACCCACTGAGAAGACCCCATGCACTAAAGAACTGAACTTCTCCACAGGATTTTTCCTGATTGTAATCTTTATAGAAGCCAATCATCACGGTTTTCTTCCAAGGTGCTGCTAGCTGGGTTTGAACCTCTAACCTTCAGTTATCAGGTGAGCATAAATTGTTGGGACCATCCAGGGATCAAAAGGAATTTAGAAATCCATTTCTCAGAGAAAAGAATACACAAAATCTGCACATTCATCTGTTGTTAGGCGCCAGTGGGTCAGCTATAACTCAGACTCTATCCTGGGTCGTCCTCATCTTTGATATACTTGAGCGCAGCCACTGTGTCAAGCCATCTTATTAAGGGGTTTCCTCTCTTTTGCTGACCCTCTGCCTTTGTCAACTTGATGTCTTTTCCCAACACACTGTCTTCTTCAAGACTGAACATTTGAGACAACAGACAGTTTCATGTGCAACCCAAAGTTGACAGTGACTGCTGGGCAAAGATTCTGTTTTTATTCCATCACCACTTATGCCATCCAGGGAGCTAACTGCTGCTTTTAGAAAAGACTCGCCAGTTCTCAGTTTTGATTCAGAACACTGGGGAAAAAACTGATAACCAGGTATTTATCCCACAGCCTACTCTCAGAAAGCTATGTGACAAGAACTCATTAAAATAAAAACTCATCTACAATTACTCAACATGCTGCAGGAAGGAAAATTTCAACACATTTGTGAACAAGCTGTACCAAATTGGGAACTGAATGGCGAATGGAAAGAAATTGTGCAAACATATTCTCAAATCGTACAAACTTAAAAGGGCTTCCTATCTAGCTCTATCTTGCTTCTTGAGTTAGCAGTTTCCTGCAAGGAAGTTTTCTCTTTTTTTTTTTTGGCAACCAAAGGCCAGGGAAAAACAACTAGTGTATGTGACAATGTTAGAAATTACATGTTTGGGGAACCTGCCGAGCATCTATAACTATTACCATCTTCTTAAATAAAACAAGGAATGGAATGACTCAACTAGAGCAATTCTTTCTACCCCGTTAGTCTACACTGGCGATCACTGGGGGGTTCCAAATTATTACACCAATTATCAGCTGACAAGGTTAAACCTTTGGCCAACAGAAAAATAAAACTTACAGGTGTGATGTTTAATTTTATATGTTCACTTGGCTAGGCTATGATACCTAGTAAATAGTTCATTATAATTAATTTAGTTGGCCTTATGAAAAGCAGATTACCCAACAGGCAGGTGGGCCTCATCCAATCACCTGAAGGTCATAAAGGCAAACAAGGCATGTTTTTCTGGGGTGTATTCTTTTCCTAAACTATAAACAGAAAATATGCCAGGCTTGACATATGGATTTGTGTCTCAACACTGGAGGAATCTTCAGCCTGTCCCTTGATCAGTAGATTTTGGACTTGACATTTCTCCCTACACCCCAACTTTGCTCAAGCCAGTTCTTTCAATAAATCTCTGTTTTCTTACATACACATGTATCTTACTGTCGTCGTTTCTTTAGTGAATCCTAAGACAGCAGGTTTAAAATACTGAACTATCATTTAGTCACTGTCTCCATCGTGTCTGGGAAAGTTTTTTGTTTTTGTTTTTTTTAAATTTTTATCATTATTTTGTGTGCGTGTACCGTCAAATCAGATCTGACTGGTACAGGAGGATATTGCGCCTCCTTCTCCGGCAGAGCGTCTGGTGGATTCAAACCATATTCCTCTGGGATTTCAGTGCAGTTTCTTGCCACTAGGCCACCAGAGCTCCCCTCTGGGAAAGTTTAATAGAGATGACATGCTAGAAGAAAATGGCCAGGGCCAATCTAGAATCAGAAGGTTGGAACAAATATTAGAGATGGGCTAAGTTAAAATATTAGTTTTCTCTCTTATTAACAATTATGAATATGTGCAAAATTTTCTCTTCTACAGAAGGAAGCAGCAGACTCCACTCTCTCTTTCTACTTTTGGTCATTAAAAAAATGAAGAACAAGTTTCCTGAGACGGTCACCAACAAGCTGAGACCCTCAGCCCCAAACAGTTTTTCTTTCTTTCTTTCTTGTTAAACCTCCAACAGCTAATGTCTGTAGATGAACAGATGAATAGAGGTTCTCTCAGGTCATGGAGTACTCAAAAAATCAGTTTTGGTGTTGAGACTCAGCATAAAGCACTTTAAAAATGTTGTAGTGTGTTTTCCTCTATACTCTTTTCCAACCCTTCGACCACAGACAGATTCAACAGATTCCAACTGCTACAATATCTGATGAAAAGAAAATAGAATGTGAGAACCTCAACAGTGACAGCTAACACCCACCAAAAATCTGGAAGCCAAAGAGGAATCTGCTAAATGTTGTCATTAATATTAATACAGACACCTTAGTCTTATAATATTATGCCCTTACGCTATGAGCGTCTCCATATGTCCCAACCACACATGAATAAAATGCTTTAAAAAACAGTTCCAACCTGGCTATCAAAATAAATATGATATGAACCGGTCCAATGAATAGCTTATAAACACTGACTTCTTAGGCAAAACTAAGTGGGTTTACACATAATACATGCTCATTTGCATGAAACCAGAGCAACATCCTACCCTGATTACTCTGGACTGTGTTAGCTTTGGAAATGGGCTCGAAGGCATTAACTCCCAGCGAACAGGTAGTCTTATAAAGGATATCTTTGATTCTCTGAATCCTCGGTTAACAGTTTGAGGTCCAGGGTGCAGCTTTGGATCAGTTCATCTAGTTTCTTCTCTTCCTGACTGAGCTCGGTCACTTCTTTTGACAGGCCTTGACACTGGGCCAGCATGCCCCCGTCCTCAGAGAGACTGCAGCCCCTAGAATCCAAACACAGACCCTTCAAGGCTGCTCAGGAGAGGCCATCGCGGGGGGCGGAGAGGGGAGGGGAGAGAAACAGGCCTTTGGGCACAGGTCCCCTTTTGTTATTAGAGGTCACACTGCTTATTAGACAAGTATTAGAATGAGAATACTTATGCACATTTTGCCCCATGAATACAGTCCTTCACATTCCATATCATTAGAAATAAAGTAAAAAGACACTGCTGTTTGCACTTTTTCTCCAGTTTCTTAGAAACGTCAAATTCAAAGGGCAAAAGGAGGGATATTCTCCTTGCCCATATATTCCAGAGAGAGTGAGGAGAGAGAATAGAAAAGAATGGTTAAGAAAAAATTATCCAAAAATGTATGAAAGGCTCAAGCAATTTCTGAGGGTTGTACACCAACAACTAAAAAGGAGAGATGTAAAGAATACAGTTACATGTGTTGTCTGCAAGAATAAGGACTGATATTCAGTCTCAAAAACAAAACAAAAAACCCACCAAAACTCAGTGCCGTCGGTCGAGTTGGAACCGACTCATAGATGACCCTCCACTGGGTTTTCAGAGGCTGTAAACTGCATGGGAGATTGCCCATCTTTCTCCTGTGAAGCTGCTGTGGATTCGAACCAGAGGCCTTTGGGTTAGCAGCGTAACTCTCTATGGCCTCTGCCACTAGAGCTCCTAATAGGTTTCTCTAATCTTTTAGGGTAGATGGGTTATCAGATTGTCATAAAATATAAAAATTGTTTGTACTGTTACAGTTGAAATGGCATTTTGCACAAGCCATTCCATGACTGGGTTAGGTCTTCTAATAATGCTAATTTAGTACTATGCGTATAAAATATAGCTGTTTAGATGCTCTGTATAGGATTCATAACTGACATTACATATTCAATTAATCATACAAGGATACAGATGATAAGTGTTAACCAGCCTGCTTTATAAAAGATATGGAGGCATTTACATTTTGTCTTACTCTACACAGAAAAATGAATCAGTCTATTACTATAACCATGGGTAACGAAGCAGGCTTGTGTGACTGTGCATACGCACACAGATGATCTATGTACCTCAACTTCTAAATTCCTATTAAAGACAAACCTAAGATACATCAACACACACAAGTCAATAGAGGAGCAGTCTAGCTTACATTTGGGTCCCAAATCCAAGCCCCAAATGTTTTATGCAAGAATCCTCTTATCAATGAAACATAAACTCTTTTATCAAGCAAAGAATATAAGTAGAAAGTCTATTTTTGAAAAAAAAAAAGATTCACAAATTTGAGGCGAAGAGATGAGAAAGCAAAAGAAAATGACAGAAGAGAGTGGAGAGGAAATGAGTGTGGACACAGCCCTGAGGAAAACTTTTGCAGTCTGAGAGTATCCTATTAGACACAGGGAGCGGGGAGTCCGTGGGTCATACTTACATCCACTGAACGTTGTTTTTAGATTTCTTCTTTATGAGGTGGATGCCTTCCAGGACATTGGTGATGTCATAAATCCTTCGCTTTTGCACTTTAAGCACCTCTGCTGCCTTGTTCAAATCCAAGACCCCGTCGGGTGACTGGCTCAGCAGCTGAATGAACTTCTTGGTGAGCAGACCAAGGGACGTATCATACCGTGTTTTTTCTGAGGGAGATTTTGGAGCTTAAAGAAAGAAAGAAAGAAAAAAAACCGAGCGGGTGGGGGGTAGGGGGAAGAGGTAAAGAAATGAAGATGTCTTTGCAGTTAAGCAAGCCCACCTCCCACTGCAGGCCAAGCATTAGTATCTGAAGCAAAGCCATGGATGCTGTAGCTTTTGGCAAGTTATAGACAAAGCTATGGAACTGCACGATCAGAAAAAGGTTTAAAAATTCCCCGTGTTGGATCAAAGCACCATTCTTTGAAGTTCTCAGCAGTTTCTGTTTGAGTGTGCTCTACTCTTTTGGTCTAGTGAAGTATCTCAAATATAACAGGTACTCTAAAATATGTGCTGAATAAATGAAAAGGTGTTGTGGTCTCAGAGCACCAGCACCATGTGGGGGCTTAACCTGCCACATCGTAACCAGCCTTGCATGCTTCTTTAATTTTTTTGATTGGGGGAGGTGTTTCTGCAAATAAATCTTTGTGTTTAACCTGTTCACCAACTTTTCAGATAATGCTTCATTTGGATGGCAAGCACTTGGAAATGTTTTCCCAGTAGATCTCTTCATCTCTCATGAATGAGACTTCCTTATTTAGTATCATGCTTAATTTTACGTTTGACACAAGGTATGCATGGCCAGAATGCATAAACCCCAGGAAAAGGAGAGAGAATACAGGTGTAATAATTCATTTCTGTTCATGAAAAAGAAAGAAAAGAAACTATGTGGGTATTTCTAACCTACTTTTCTGCCCCCTCCCCCCCAATGCAATGATGTTGTATGGAAAGTGAAACGAGCTGTAATTTATTACTTGCAATCAATTCCTAATGCCCCGTAAGCTGAGCTAGAGATTTAGGTCACAGCAGACATTGCTGCCTCTTATAGATTCAGTTCTCCTTCTATTCTAAATGCGGATCCATTAAGGAAAGTTAAAATGAAATTTCATTCTATAGAGCTAGCAAACAGCTTGTATTCTGAGTTGAAATGAAACATCACACATTTACGCATCACATTCAATACTGCCCATACTGAGGAAGCTGAGTGACCAGGTAAGTGTCTGCAGACATTGTACTGATTTTCTGGGTGGGCAGCGAAAGGGATGCTAAAGAGCAAAGCATGCTGAAAAAAGAATTTACATCTTGACATTCTTCTAGTCACAAGCTTTGAAAGTTGGGGATCCCACAATGACTTCTCTAATGCTGCTGTAATAGTAGATGGCTTTAACAAACATTTATTTTCTTGCTGTTTGGGATACTATACATTTGAAATCAAGGCACCAGCTCTATTGGAAGGTGTGCCATCTTTGTTGGCTTTAGAGTCAGGTTCTTATTTCTTCTGAGCTTCTGGTCCTGGCTAATCTTCATTTAGTCTGTGATTTCTTCTTTCCATCTCTTTGCAGGCTTGAGTTTAATTTTGTTCATATTGCAAAAGAGACTGACTCAAGATATACCCTACATTATCCTGTTTCATTAATACAACCATTCTCCAGTGGATTTATAACCACAGGCCACAAAACATAAAATTTGTAAGAACACAGTTCAGTTCATTCTAACCTCAGGTCTCCCAACTTTCATGCCCTTCCATATGGAAAACAGAACACACTCATCAAATTATGCCAACAGTCTTAAATAAACTCTAGGCCTGAACACTCATCTGAAGAATTTAAATCAAATAAGGGTGAGACGTTAGATATATTCTATTTGAGGGAAAATTCTTTATATCTGAGTCTGTGAATTTTAAACTACAAATTATCTGTTTCCAAAGTAAACTGGTCAAACAGGTACAAGGTATACACTTTCAGTACAAATGGAAGATACTGGACGTAAAGAAGTAAGTCCCAAACCCAGGAGAATAATTTTGACTAGCTCTGAAAGCTTGAAAAGAATACCATCTTCCCTGAGACTATCTGGGCAATGGCCTCCACACTGCCGACCCCGCGTGTTGACCACATACTCTGGTTTCTGGGCGGAGGTCCCAGGTCCATGAGCTTCACCGCCTATGTTAGCTGAATGGTGGCTCTGCTTTCTGGGCTTTGAGTAGCCCCATTCTCCGAGACCATCTGAATGATGACTCTACTCCTCAGCCCCTTCAGGCCCCGCTCCTTCAGTTTTGGATGGTGGTCCCATTTTGCTGGTCTATTTTGGAAATCGCTATACTCAGGAGACCATAATACCAATCTTTGGAATGGAGAAGGTCTACCAGCAGTTCTGCTAATCCCTGAGTGCTTCCAGGGATGGACTTTTCTTTTTTTGGGAAGACAAGAAACACAGCTCCTCTGGTTTGTTTCATGCCTGTAGAATTCTAAGAGGCCGACCACATTCTTCGCTTTCTCTGTCTATGCTGTCTCTAGGCTAAGCTGATAGGGTGTTTTGCTGGCAGTTGGGTAGGTCCAACCTTAAACTCAAAAGCCAGCACACAAGAAATAGTCCATTAAAAAGGTATGGCTAGGTTTTTGACAAACACTCTAGAACAATTGCTTTTAGTTTATAAAAAATAATTTCCTGTATCTTTTTTTTTTGTACAGTTACTAATTTTATTTTGTACAGTTAATGTTTAAGTCCTCCTCTTTCCATTTGCATTTGATTGCAAGTACAAAGGAGAAAGCAGGTGATTCCTGAAGATCTTGCTTTGCCATCTCATACATGATATACCTAGTTTCACCACAAGTTCTGCTTCCCAACACACTCCTTCTGCTGTCCAAGCTCATATTCATAATTTTATTTTAAAAAGTCTCACCAGATGCACAGCTAATGTTCACAGTTTCAGCAATATTCTACTGTTGGCACCATGTATTCCCTAAGACCACAAAGACTTTCTCTATAGCTATCCTCGCTTCCTGCTAGGGCCTCTGCAGAAGCACTACTGATGTCTGTGATCTGTAAACAGCCTCTTCAAAGTAATCCAAGCTTTTCCTGCTCAACAATACAACTCTTAGCTGTGGGGTCAGAACTGACCAGCAGGTTTTCAGAGGCTGTAAACTGCATAGGAGGAGACTGAGCAGCTGGCAGATTTGAACAGCCTACCTTTGGGATGCCAGCTTAATTCCCTACCAAGTAGGCCACGACAGCACTCTGCTTTTACTATTAAACACTTTAAAACTTGTCTCATTATTCAATTCCAAACCCCTGCTACGCTTTGGGTGCCAAATTCTATCTCTGCTTTTATGCTTGTTCAGTCTCTGTTATATCTTTAAAAAAAAGGAAACTGACTCATGATTGACTACACTAATCCTCTCTCACCAATGTGACAAAGACAACCCATTGTCAAAGAGGATTTAAACCACAGGCATGCTGTAACTGTCAGGTGCCAATGAGTTAAATACGACTCATACAGACCCTATGAACAACATATCTGAACCCTGTCCTATCCTGTGCCATCCTCATCATTTCTGACACATTTGGGCCCGTTGCAGCAGTTAATGTGTCAATTCATCCCATTGAGTCTTTTTTCTTTTGCTATCTCTCCATCTTTACACATGATGTCGCTGTCCAAGATACAGCCTCTTCTAACAATCTGCCCAAAGTAGGGAGCTCTAGGGTAAGGAGTTGTGCTGTCCTACCCCAGCTCCCATATTTTTTTTCAAATTTTCTACTAGTTTATTTACAAAATTCAAATATATTGTTTTCAAGAACAAATTCTTTCAACATCCTTCACCCTCTACCCATCAAATTGTACAACCTCATGATTAATTCCCCCTTCCCCTGCACATATTCATCCCTCTGCCTCCAAACTCTCCCACCCCTCCTGAGTCCTTATACTCATTCTACAGTAATGGTTTTACACAAAATTTATCCTTGTGAAACTGTTAATTCAATTCACTCAGCATAGTGCTCTCCAGTCCCTCCCAAGTTAGGTAATAATTTACAAAAATAATTGTTCCTGCGTGTTGTTACATAGTATTCCATTGTGTGAATGTATCATAATTTTTAAGCATTTCATTTGTGGCTGGACATTAGGGCTGTTTCTATGTTCTTGCAATGGTGAATAACGCTGCTATGAACACTGGTGCACAAATCTCTGCTTATGCCTCAGTTCTCATTTTCTCAGTGTATATTCCAAGTAGTGGAATAACTGGAGCATATGAAATACCTATGTTCAGCTTTCTGAGGAAGCGCCAAACTGCTTTTGCATGATCTTTAGCAGTATTTTGTTTGTGTGTGATGGTAACAATATTGTTTGATAATTTCCACATTGTGAACCACCTTTCTTGGGAATGGGAATAAATATGGATCTCTTCCAGTCAGTTGGCCAGGGAGCTGTCTTCCAGATGTCCTGGCACAGACTCGTGAACATGCCCAGGACTGCATGTGTTAGTTGAAATATATCAATTGGTATTACATCAATTCCTGGGGCCTTATTTTGTGCCAATGCCTTCAGTGTAGCTTGAATTTCTTCCTTCATCATCACTGGCTCTTGATCATATGACTGCTGTTGTAAAGTGCCATCGAGTTGCAGGTGACTCACAGTTACCCTATGAAGGAGAGTCCTTGATACTTGGGTGCCTTTCATCCTCTCTCCAGGTTCATAGGGTTTCCGGAGGCAAGCTATTACGGAAGTGGATGCCACTCCTCCTTCCAAGGATCATATGGTACTCACTGAAATTATTCAGTGTTGGTCAATTCTTTTTGGTACAATGATTCTGTGTATTTCCCTGATCTTTTTTCAGTGCTTCCTTGATCATTTGATATGTTGCCCATAACATTTCTCAGCAGCAACTCGAAGTTTGAAATTGTTTACCACAGGCATAGACATTAGGATTTACAACACATATTGGGGTCGGGGAGTTGCCATTTAATCCATTACTAACACCAGAGAGAATAAGGAAAGAGATGAAAGGGCTCTTACTTTTTGGACTATCTGGACTTCGTAGTGCAGCTCTTCCTTTGCCTTTAGGGGTTTTTAAACCATCTGAGAGGTACTGATGACCGCTTTCTCCCAGCTCCAGCCTTCGCTTTGCCTATAATAAAGAGGGGAAAAAATACCAAACCCAAATCATTCTTCACTGGTCCCATGACAAGAAGCGAGATAGTTTGTGATCTGGCTCTGCCAAATGCTACGTGCACACCCCAATTCTTGCTACTTTTGTCCCATCTCATTACCAACTTGTTATTCCCGACTCTTTATCTCAAATGACCATCTTTCTACCCTCAGATGGGTAAATCTAATGATCCTTTAGGATTAGGCCCTGGAGCCACTCTGTCCATATATCCACTCATCCAGTGTATGTGTCAGTCATAGGACCAGACAGTAAGAACACAGCTCAGTTCATGGACGTGAAATCCACTTCTCCCCAGTGTCTACTTTCAGCCCTTCGTGTTTCTGATTTGGGCTGCATCCCCTTCCTTGTGCTCTCTGAACACTGTGTCTATTTCTATTATAACACCTACTAGATACACTGAAAAAGTGACTTATCTGATTCACATTTCCTTAAAGGCAGAGAGTTTTTACTCGTTTATCTTTGCATATTCTATTTTCTATTTACAAAGCCTGGGTTTCTGTAGGTAAGTGACCACTCAATAAAAGAAAGAACACAGACAGCTGGACACTACCAAAGATCAGAAGAGCCAGTATTGCAAACATTTCATCTTGCTTTCAACTAGTATTAATTTCCCAACAAATCTGACAGGTGAGTTCTCATCCATTTTTAATTAAATTCTGTTTTAATTGTGGAACACCCACACCCCTCAAAATACCTTCCACGTACAGGGCACTGGGCTTAGGGAACACAGACTAAGCAAGCTAGAGATGGATTTGCCTTTTTGGGGTACAGAGTCTAAGAGATAAAGCATATAATTAAACAAATGACTTCTGAGTGCTAAGTGTTATATGCTTGATGTGAAGACAAGAGAGGTAGTATCAACTAGACAATTAGATAGCAATTGGGCTCATTTCAAGGTGGAATGTTCTAACAAGGAGATTCCTAAAAGAAACCCACTTATAACTGTACTTCAGTAAGTACTGATTGGTTTCCCTCCCTTTTTTTTTACAAATGGAAAGTATATGGCATTACTGTGTCAAGCAAGTCTGTAGGTACCATTTTTATCAACAGCATGTGTTCACTTCATGTGCCTGTTACATTTTGTTAATCTTCATAATATCTTCAACGTTTCCAGAATGCTTCTGCAAACTTGGCAGGCGACCCCAAACCAAAAGCTAAACACATTGCCCTCGAATTGGTTCTGACTCTCGGTGACCCTCCATCAGTGACTGAGGCTGTAAATCTTTATGGGAGGAGGTTGCCCATCTTTCTCTCAAAAGGCAGCAAGTAGATTTGAACCGGGGAGTTTTTAGTTAGTAGCCCAGCATATAGTGGACTACACCTCCCAGCTATTTCAATAGACTAAAACAAAGTGCAAACTTAACTTTTACTCATTCATTCTCACTGTCAACTAGGCAGCTGTGACTCATAGCTGACTCTATTCGGTTTCCAAGGCTGTAATTTGAATGTGTGAGAAAACTGTTCATCTTTTGTGGAAAGATCAACAGATTAGCAGAACAACTCTCAATGGACTACATCATCAGAGCTCCATCAACAGACCATTGTTTGTTGCTGAGTCAAGTATAATTCATAGAGACACTATGGACAATCTTATTCTGTACAGCCTCACCATCTTTGACCCCCTTGAGCTCATTGCTGCGGTCACTGTGTCAAGCCCTCTGGTTGAGGGTCTTCTTTTCCTTTGCTGACCCTCCAAGAATGCAGTCTTGGTTATCATTCATCAGGACTATTGTACCTTCATACTAGTAGTATTCACTCTGGCTTATTATCTATTATCCACCAATAATTTTCTAAGAATGATGCCCCTCTCTAAGGAATAATCTCTCCTAGCAACATGTTCCAAGTATGTGAGACAAAGCTTTGTCATCCTTTCCTCCAAGGAACATTCTGGCAGCACTTTCTCCAAGACACATCTATTTGTTCTTTTGGCTGTCCAAGGGAAAGTGAGTAAAACAAACAAATCAGCAAACTCACTTTATTGCTATATTGTGGCAGCCTGGAATGGAATCTGAAATATTATTGAGGCATGTGCCTATAATTTCCAAATCATCTGCTAGAATTTGGTTACACAAGTAATGGCTTATCAGTTGCTAAGCGTCAGTAATTAACTCCTCAAAGAAAATTTCTCAGCTAAACTTGTGCTTTGAATACAGTAGCCACTAGTCAGTTACACATGGCTTGTCTATACTTACATTGCAAACGTGAAATGCACAGTGGACAATGATGACCTGCTATGAAAGCACACTATTATAATCAGCATAGGCCTCCTTGAACAGCCATAGTAAAGACCTACTGGGTAGACAGCACACTGGTGAGCCCTAGCTCCCTACCCCAGACTACTTACTACTTGTTTCTAATTGTTCAGAGGAGAGTCAGTTAAACTGTCATCCAAGTTCTATGACTGAGTTCTAGCTTTATCTTTAAGGACCACTAGTTGTTGGGATATGTGTTTAGATCAGCTATCATTTGATGCTTTGTAAGTAATCTAAAGCACTCAGAAAAGTCAAAACTGCAATCAGGAGTTGATTCTGACTCAATGGTGATGGAGCACAAAACTGTCCCATGGGTTTTCCTACACTGTGGTCTTTATGGGGTGGAATCAAACTGTCACCTTTCTCCCATTGAGAGGCTAGTGGGTTTTAAGAGCTGAACTTTTGGTTCACTGGCAAGCACTTAAACAACTGTGACATCAGGGCTACTTCCAAGTTTAAATATAACATAAACAAAAAAATCTGCTGAAACAGAAAACCAGATGTACCACACACTGCTGAATCCTGGGGGTTATGACACTAAGAGTGACCCATGGTGGGTAGGTATCAGTAGAACCTTTAGACTAAGACAGACTAGCAAGAAAGACCTGGAGATAACAGTAAAACATTGTCAGTGCTAGAAGATGAGTTCCCTAGATGGGAAGGCACTATGAAACAATGATCTCAAAATTTCATAAAGTGAAGATGGTACAGGACCGAGGAATGTTTTCTTGTTATCATGAGTTGGTGGGACTTGACCTTAACTAACAACATACTGCCACAGGACCCAGTCTTAAAAAAAAAAAAAAAGAGTCAAGGTAAATAAAATAGAAATGAGCTGTGAAATAGTTTGTGGTTGTTGTTATGTGCCATCGTTAAGTTGTATGTGACTCATAGCGACCCTATATACAACAGCTCTGAAGCCTGCCCTGTCCTGAGCCCGTCTCACTAACTCCGATGCACCTGCCCCCTATTGCGGTAGTTACTGTATCAATCTGTCTCATCTAGGGTGTTCCTCTTCTGTGCTGTCCCTTTACCCTTCCGAGCATGATGTCCTTCTCCAAGGATGGGTTCCTCCTGGCTACGTGCCCAAAGTATGAGAGATGGAGCTTCAAAATCCTAGCCTCCAAGGAAAATCATGGTTTCATCCTATCCAAGATAGACTTATTTGTTTTCTTGGCAGTCCATGGTGTGTTCAAGACTCTTCTCCAGCACCTCAACTCAAAGTCATCAATTCTTTCTTGGTCATCCTTAGTCATTATCCAGCTCTCCGATGCACAGCAAATAATTGCAAAGACCACGGTCTGGATCAGGTGCACCTTAGTCTCTAGGCTGACATTATTGCTTCTCAGTACTCTGGAGAGGTCCCTGACAGCAGATTACCTAATGCAATGTGTCTTTTGATTTCTTGACTGCTGGTGTCAAGACTGTTGATTGTGGAGCCAAGAAAGCTGTCAACTGGCCCAGTGGTGAGAATCTTTGTCTTCTTGATGTTGAGCTTCAATCCATATTGAAGACTATAGTCTTTGACTTCCTGCAGCAAACACTTTAGATCTACCTCAGTTTCAGAAAGCAAGGTTGTGTCATCTGAATAATGTAGGTTGTTGATGAGTCTTCCTACTCCAGCATGTTCACCTTTTTCTCTAAGTAGTATGCTCACACAGTGATTCCTTGCCTAAAACCCAAAAACTCACTGCCTTGAGGGGAGTCTGATTCTGATGACCCTGTTTTCATTTTAATGTACTAAGCTCCTTCAGTGATACCAAACACATCTCTTTGGTATGCTTTCCCAACAGTTACAACATTATTTTCATTATATATAGAGGGAAAAACACAAAATAAATTGCTGGCATGGCTATACTGATGCTATTCACCACAGAGTCAAGTATGACAGCCATGTGCCATGATACTGAGATTATATATCCTCTGGTTGCCGTCCTGTTTTGCTTAGTTTTCCATTGTCTTTCTTGTGTGGTAGTACAGTTTACCGTCACCATATCCTCAACTTTTTAAAACTCTCCATTACATTAGATATTCTGTCAATGCTTGGATTTTCCTAGTTGTTGACTGCTGTCAGGTCAAGCATGACTATGAACAAAAAGCCAGAAGCTTTTCTATAACTACTGTCATTTATCAAAGTTCACAGTTTCCAGAGGCATGTTGGTTAGCAAGTGGATGCCATTCGTGCTTCCAAATCTTTCTTAAATTGGGAGCTCCACAAACACTGTCCATCATGCATAATCGTTATGGCGTGTGACATCCCAATGGTACAAGGTCCAGCATCACAGTAAACCCAGGTTACCTCAGTACAGCAAATTAACAGAAGAGTACCGTACCACTTAGAAGAATCTTCCTCCAAAATATAGTAACAACCGACTTTAAATATAAAGGCTCTCCTCAAGCTCTTGTTGACTCTTGTTTAAACAAAAGGCCTAAATAAAAAACAACCAATATAGATATGTTTTTGTTGTTATCGTGGAGTTGCCTGAGACATATGGCGACCCTAGTACAGCAGCTCTGAACACTTTCCTTTCCTGAGCCAGCCTCACTATTTCCGACCCCTATTGCCCCAGATACTCTTATCAATCCATCTCATCTGGGGTCCTGCGCTGTCCCTCCATGCTTCTGAGCATGAATGTCCTTCTCCCGGCCACATGCCCAAAGTATGTAGACAGAGCTTCAAAATCATAGCCTCTAAGGAGAGACTTG